GTTGATACAAATTATAACAAAAACATATTGCAATAACAAGCACATTAAGGGGTTTTCGGTTGCGGCTAACGGGTTGTATAAGCCATATGGCTTATTTGCATAACCATATCTAGTTGTTCGTATGGGCTTATTCGGTCAGCCCATGGCTGAATTGCTTAGCTACAAAAGTGGAGTCATATATACTTAGTTGGTCCTTTTCCCTCAATATCCTTTGGAAAAACACGTCTCTTCTTCCCTGAATTCATTCCCTCCTCTAACTGACCCTCTTCCTTTCCTGAAATGGAATCAATTCTCAATCTCCGGAATGAAGCTTGATTCACTGGAAGAAACTCATTGGAATGAAGCTCGATCTGCTCCTTACTTTCCCTAGCTCTCACTTATGTATTAGATTCAACATTTCCCTTCTAGCGCCTCATGTGCTATCTTCGGTCTTCCAGTGACTACCATCGTCGGTGTCATCTTTTGATTTTCGTCATGTCATCTTCCTCGTTGCCATCATCGGTCTTCTTTTGATTTTCAAGCTTTCTAGTGCCTCCTCGATGATTTTAAATGAGTTTGGTGAAGATTCACTTTTGGATGTTCAAAGATTTGGGTGTTCCTCCCTACCAGGGACGTTCCAATCTTTTTGGAGGCCCTGCTACATCCAAAACTTTTGATTACATTGCATAAATGAGATAACAATAAATATACGTCAAGAACAAAAATGGGCTAAACCTAAAATGATTAACAATCTGAAACTAAACCTAACCCCATTAATGATTTGAACCTAAAACCAAACAATTAATGGTTTGAACCTAAATAATTTCGGCTATAGTTTTACACAGGTTGATAAAAGACCCTAGCGTTGTTCAAAATCTCACATTCAACATGCTAAGGGAAGACCTTGCTCCCTACGTATTCAAAATCAAATGGTCTCCTTCATTTGGGGGTTATTTTATTTAGGTTCATAGATTGGATTCTTTTGATTTGATTTGTCTCATTCATTTGGGTGTTCTTTTATATAGGGTTCATATATTTGATTATTTTGATTTTTGCCATTAGGTTTGAAAAAAACTCAGATCGTCTCCTTTACTGGGTCTGCTGAAAAAACCCAAATAAGTTGGATTGGATATTGAGTAGTAAAATAGTCATTTATGTCATCCAGACAGATTATTCAGGATAACAACCTAACAAAAACTTATATGAATCATACAGATAACATTTTTCAATACAGACAGCTTTATCCATACATGTCTTAATAAAAAACGATCCGAACAACCCAACTTAAAGATTAAAGTTTAAAACCTTGAATTGTTGAAACATGGAGGCAATCAAGCAATTGTCAATAGGATTGGACTTTGATATTAAATAAAATACTTGAAGAAACAATAAGTAGCAAATAAAGGAATAGCATATAACACATGTAGGGGTGCTGAAAAATCCGATAAACCCGACCAACCCAACCCGAATTAAAAAAAAAAAAAAAACCCAACCCGAGGTAACCCGATGCATAATCGATAAAAAAATTAGCCAACCCGACCTTATTGGGTTGGAATCAGGTCAGGCCAAAAAAGCCCCGACCAACTCGACAACCCAATGACCCGACCTTAACTTTAGCTTTGAATTGTAGATGACAATCATGACATGACCAACCTCAACGTCAAGAAAGCGAAAGCATCGAGGTTGGAAACGTCTAAAATTATTGTTGTTGATTGATGTATTATCATTTGGTTTAAACATTTTTATTGTAATATCTAAATATTTGATGAACTTGCATATTATCTTGAATGGTCGGTCGTATTTCAAAGGA